TTCAGCCCTCTAAGTAGAAGGCATATCAGAGAATTTAAAAAAATGAGAATATTTAATAATAAAATAATAATTATAATAAAGTAATAAAACAATTTATTATAAAGAAAGTAAATAATTTATTATAAATAAATTGTTAATAAAGTAATAAAAATATTTAATTAAGAGCATATGAAAGAACTGTTTTGGCTGTGTCTAAAACTATTCTAGGTATTTTGAAAACAGAAATAACCATGGATCATTGCTGGCAGTGTTAGCTGTCTTCTTCCAAATGCATGGAGTACATTTATGTTATGATTAATTTTTCATATTTTTTTTCCAATATTTTGCGAGTCAAGATTTGTTCACCTAAAGAAACACATACCTTGTAATGAGAAAACACATGTGGGCTCAGTGCAAATCTATATCATAAATATTGTTGTTCTGTTATTTTTGTTTTGCATTTATCAACTGTTACTTTTATCTATTATTAGTTTTGGTTTTGTTTTATCATTAAACATCACCGTGAAGGCAGAAATCTCAAAACTCTTCTTTCCATGAATTTGTACTTGGGAATATGTACCTGGCACATTTAGTATGCCAGTGGACATCAAAGAGTTTGCCTAGAGACTGTTTAGACTGCATGAACAGCCACATTGCAGCAGTAATGTCTTCAATGTGAGAAATATTTGTTACTTATTTTAGGAACAATTTCCGTGTCAACACTGCCATGACATTATGTGAGCAGAATTTGTGATTATGCCTATTTATCCTTGCTTAGGTTTAAAAAGCAATGAAGTAAACAAAAGTTCTAACCTCCCATCTATAAGTACCAAGTAGATACAGATTCAAACCTTACAGCTGTAAATAAATGGGAAAAGCTCTTCCCTGGAAAGTCAGGCTGAAGCCATTATGTTTGAAATTGAAGATACTAGGTCTAAACAATATCAAACTTGCTCTGCTTTGCCAACTTGATCTTTAAACAAGCTTGGGACAGAAGGATGCTGAAATTGCCATCTCTTATTTCCCTACAAATTTTGAATTTTGCAAATAGATAGAAAATAACTCCAAGTGAAACATGATAGAGGCTAAATTGCATCACAATGTCCTCAGCCTAATTAAGAACTCAGTACTTCAGAAAGGATTGAGCAGAACAGCAGAATAAAATTTACTGCTCTCTTGAGTCTAAAAAAGGAAATTCCTCAAAACCATAAGCTTTATGACAAATTACAGAACTTTATTTTTATTTTAAAATATTATTTTCATGACAGATTTGCAGAGATACTTTCTTCCTCTTGGTGGACTACGTTTTCAAGTTCAAAAGGTGAGATTACATTTTCCATGCACATTTAAGGTTATCCATCCATCGTTCAGGCAGAGCCTCCCATCACTGCAGGCATGATAAATTGCCAGCTCCCTTCTCTTATTGCAGTTTACTACATTGCCTCAAGCTCTTCCCCATTAGGGTATAGCACACAGTATTTTATTGATTTTTGGAAAGCAAACTTGGTGGCAAAGGCATGAATTTTCAGAGATGAGCGGCTCCACTCAAGTGTGAAATATCAGCCATAATTCATTCCTTTCCAGAAGTGGAAGAAATGCTGAGGCTGAGCTGGCAAGCAGGATATCCACAACCTGAGGTTAAACACTAACACGGAATTCTGACTCTGTTCCTGACTCTACCTATGATCCTAATTTGAGATCTTCACTTCTCTGGACCTTATTTTTATGTTTATTATTTGGATGTGGAAAGGAGGGTGGAAGTGAAAGAGGAAGCAGAATTGAAGAGGGCACCACAAAGCCAATCTTTGTGTGCCTAAACTGGATAATGAGCATTGATCACAGCACTTTCGAAAACACATGTCTCAGTGAGGATTTGGTTAATTTGAAATATTCATAGTCATATTTTGCTGTTACCAGGCACACAGTGCCTGAAGCAAAATTAATACTGCAAATAACCTCAGAGACTACAACAATTTCTTACAACAATAATTTGTTACAAATATAATCTTACAAAGATTACAACTATAATTTCCTTACAGAAATAAAGTTGGGAATGAGACAAATTTGTTCACTAAAAGAAGAAAGGAACCACTACAAGACAGTTGGAGTAAAACTTCTAATAACATATTTTACTTTACATTTCCATGCTATACAGGCTGGTTTTACTGCAGACTTTAGATAGTGCTTTATCATTACTGTTAGTGAAATAGTTGGTTTACCTAGCTTTGTTTGAAACACATGCACTAAAAAAAAGGGGTATTTTTGAACTGCTTTGAGGGTCTACATAGATTGGTTTTTTCCCCTCCCGCACTTGTTGGGTTTAATCCTGTAGATTGGTCAACTCAGAGCTCCTCAAATTGATGCAAAAGTGTTCAGGAACTGAAAAGTTGAGCTATTTAATTAGAGTACTTAATGGATAAGATTAAAATTTCCATGGCACTGAATGAAGCAATTACTACACTGGAATAATTTAATTTTTAATTTCTTTTCTGTAACCAGGACCAATGACTTTAACTGAAAACTAGTTGTAAATTAAAAAAAAAAATGGGGAGAAGGAGCCAGATATAACTGCTGTCATGAGGCAGGCATGCTGAAGTGATCCTAGGAATGGTGGGGGAAAACAAAGACATATGGTTTCTGTGTCTCAGGAACTAATTATTGAGGCCCCTTTTCTTGTACTTTAACTAAGATGAATAATCAAAACCAGAGTTACCCCACAAAGATCTCCCCACTTACTATGTGTGGAATCATTGCAGAAAATCTCCTCAGAACATTCCATATACTCAGACAAGGAAGTGACTATTTCTTTAACTGTACAACAAAGTGTGGCTGCAATACCGATTTTTGAGAAAACATTACTGCTGAATATTACACTAATGCATTTCTAAGTGAGAAGAGGGGGTCAAGATATGAGAAAAACACAAGTAGCATAGTTCTTCCCTGTGGGCCCATACAATGACTCTTCATCTTTTGTAATTTAGGTTTTCAAAAATCAAGGATAGCTCATTCTTGAATTACAATACACAGAACGGGATTCAATATCACAGCTGAATTGTCTTGTATGTTCATTTCTATAGAAGAACAATAAGGTATTACTAAGGACTTTGTTATTCATTGCTTCAGGGTTCAGTACTAAATCACTTCTTCCAGCACTCTCCCTGCTCACTGACAACCCATGTTACTTCTAATTGAATTTTTGAAATTGGTTATTCATAAACCAAGAATATCTCAGTTCTGTGTCAGTAATAAGATGAGATGCAAAGAGCTCTTTGATAAATGGTCTCAATGATCTTAAAGTTTTTTTCCTACCTAAAAAATTCTATGATCCTATACTGTCTTGTACCTCCCATTACAAAACTGTGTAATGGGCATCAAATTAGCATCATATTAAGCTGTATCTTTCAGCAAGTCCTTTTATGATAGACTTTGTGGTATTATACAGAAATGAAAAATTGATAAAGCAATTGTTTATTCTCCTTGGACTTAAACATGTGCAGGAATCATCACCGGCAATTTCTGCTACTGTAGGTCAAGATGACTCAGAAAAAACAGAGCAAACAGTTTTTGTTCAGGACTTTGATTATTTACAGCAGAAAGTAGGTTTGTTGCACCAGCAAACCATAAAAAACTACAAAATGGTGCAGGTCCACTATATGGGATTAGAATTAAAAATCACTTTCATATGAATTAAGACCCTGAAATAGAATAGGTATAATAATAAGATACTTCACATAGGTACACAAATCATCTTCATGTGCAATGAGAACAACTACTTTCAAAACCTCATTGACTTTACTGAGAGTGCTGGTGAAAAATACCTTTACCATATTTTGCTTGAAATTTCTTTCAGAAAATTTCTTTCAGTATATATAGCAGGGTATTTTTACTTAATATTTAATTCTTCGCAGTCCTCCCACCCAGATCTGATGGCAACACGCCTGTCTGGGACACACAAACAGTTCAGCTGCTTGGCTCTGGGGAGCTGGAGGCAGCGTGTGAGGCAGAGCATGGTGCACCTGGCTGCCCTCCATGGCTACAGGAAAACCACTAAGGAGTAGGAATCCTACTTCCCCCATCTGCCACGGATCAGCAGCTCTGGAGAGCACCTCTGAAACAGCCAGGCTGTAAGTAACAACAGTAAATAAAATGTGCTAGGGTCAATTTTCTCTCCCTGTGGTCTTAGCGCACAACCAAATAGCGAAGCTCTCTCCTCACAGAACATAGGGGCCCCTTTCCAGATTGTCCCAGGTCTGTGCCACCTCAGAGCTGTGTCCAAACACTGCCTGAGAGGTGCTGCTCAGCATAGACAAAAGCTGTGCCAGGGCCATGTTCACAAAGAAGCAGAATGGACAGGTAAGTGCCCATGAGAAGCCCCGGCCCTACCTGGTTTGCAGGAGAGGTAAAACCAAAGCCTACAAGCTAAGTGAAGATCACAGCTACTATCCAGAGGGGCTAGGAGTGACAAGGATCAAAACAGCATGCACAAGTGACCTGACTATGTGTATGCCCTGGGATTTTTACATTTTCAACCACCAAAGCCTGCTGGTAGTGCAGCTTGGACAGTACACTTACAGATGCACATGTTTCTCCCAAATCAGGGCATAAATAATTTCTGAAAAACCTTGAAAATTTTTCTAAATTTTATTTCCTGCATTAGGTCACATGAAGCTTTTCATAAACTCTGTTGGAGCACACATCTACCTCACCTCAGCAACAGTCTTTGTTAGATCACATACATCCATCTTTAGACATCAAAATGACATGTACAAAGAAGTTCAAAGCAGGGAAAAAATTGGATACTGATCACTGATACCATATACAAAGAAAAATGTGGCCCATTCTTTACCTAGCAAATCATTTGCTAGGGAAAGAAAGTGGCTTTATTAGCTAAAGCAGACCTGCTGCAACCCCTGCAAAATGTAACTTTCCAATTGCTGACACTCCACAGCCCCCTGTTTGGTGTGAGCACTGCCTGGGTTTCAGTGACTACATGTGCAAGACACAAAGTCGCAGCCACGTACCACAGTTGTCTTCGTCAGCCCGATTGCCACAGTCATCCTCACCATTACAGTGCAGCTGCTGGGGCAAACACTTTGTGATATTGCCACATGGAAAGTAGCCCAGGGGGCACCTGGTGCCAGCTCCAGAAACATGATCTTCCAAAGAGTCACAGGTGACTAGATGGGAACAGAAAAAAATGTTTGTTTTATGACGTGTTTAAAAGTATCTGATATTATGCCTCTGTAAGTACTCAATTTACATTTGAATGTGAATATCAAGCAACAGAAATGTATTAATTCATTGGACATGAAATTAAAACAGTATATTAAGTACTTGTTAAACTTGGCAAAAATATTTTATATTGTTAGCTAATTAAAATTTCCTTTGATATAAAGCAAACAGGTAAATCTCAAACAGGTAATTCCTCCCTATTCTTCCTCAGAATAAGATCAAAATGTTAATTATACAAGACAAATTACCTAAGGTCACCATTTTAAAGGATTGTTTCACTATTTATTATAACAATATACCAGATAAGCTATAAGTATCTCTGCCTATGGAAGGGTGGTTGGAGCCAGATGATCTTTAGGGTCCCTTCCAACCCAAACCATTCTATGACATTAATTTGTGCTGAAACTTTAGACCCAGATAGATAAGCCCCTTTAAACAAAGCCAGACCTATATATGTTTGATTATATTCTAATTTTAAAGAAACTTGGTGTAAATGGATCAAGGATCAAAGAACAAGGCAACTAGGATTAAATCTGCGACACAGTTTTGCTGAAAATTTATAAGACATCATGAAGGGGCCAATTATGAATCCTTCAGAAGAGCTGTCAGTCTAATCAAAAAGGTGTGGTGATATTGGTCAGAACATATCAATGTGAAGTTTAGATACACCGATGCTGTTCTGCTGAGCCCATGCTTTCCAGGAAGGAACTTCAGAGAACACAGGACTTCATTCATGCAGTGCTGAGGGGAAAGGTAGAGGGATGCTGATAAGGGACAGCCAGGGTGGCTGGAGGACTCTGCCTGTCCTCTGTTCTTCAGTTCTCTGTGCTGCAGCAGCTGCAATCACTCACATTTGCAGATGCATGATGACTTACCAGTCCCACCACTGCACTTGAGGGACAAATTCTGCCATCACCATTTTTTTCCCCCAAGAAAATGTGATTTAACTACTGCTTCTGTGATGGATTGTGGGATGCCAAGTCAGATTTCTTGTTGTACAAGACCAACTTCTTCCCAAGAGCATACTATGGAGAGGGTTTAAAATTACACTAGAATTAAATTTGTTCAGTCTACAGTATGCTGGAAATGGAGAAAAGCATCATCAGGACAGAACACAATTCAGTGTTCTTCATTTACAAAGCTTCCCTAAACCTACCTAGTACCTTTCTGCAAGGGTCTGCTGACTTAATTTTTGAAGCACTTTCAAAAGGGAGTATCGCTTTCTTATTAGAGCTACCATTTGACCTAATGCATACTGTCAAAAAAAACCCCAAAAATCAAATACAGATTTTATTGTAAATTTCATTGTGATCTTAGAGCACTTCAAATACTCTCTACAAAATTTATTAACTGTGATATGAAGCTTGTTCAGATAGAAAAACTGCTAATTCTGAAACATGCATCTATTTTTCCTGGCTATTTTCAAAGACAAAGTATAAATCTTTTACAAAACTTCCCCAGATTAACAAGGAATGTTCTTGGACAGCATCTGATTTTTTGCACTGATTTTTCTCTTGTATTACGAGAAATCACCTGAAATTCAGTCAAGTATTTCAGATTCATAAAAAATCCCTTCCAGAAAAACTTCCTTCCAGTTAAGCCCTTGACAATGTTTACAGCTCTGAAAAATTGGAGTGTAAGAGCTGTAGCTGCAGAAAATGGAGATAAATATCCTCTATATGTACAGAATTATCCTTGCTGTCAGAAGCATCCTGAATAGAAAGTTGTATATTCCAGCTAACCACCACTGAATAATGCAGAAAAGTTGATTTCCTTTTATCCACAAGTATATAACCCATGCGATTACTCAAAGAACATCAGCTCCTTAAGACTTTTATGTATAGGTACCAAAAGTATAGCTACATCCTAGTAAAAGGGTGAATTCACACTTGCACAAAAAAATAAAATTCACACTTTATATTGTTCATAAATTTCTCTGCTGCTCTGTGCTTGTATTCATAACATTATGATTAACTTGTTCCACCCAAAAAGAAGTAGCAAGAAAAGCTTATGTAGGCATATTGTTAAGCAAACAGTGTATGTGTACTACTTAGTGTCTTAAGTCTCTTTCTTTGCAAAAGGCTGAGCAAGCAACTGACGCTCCCTTAAGTGTTACAATCTGAGTACCTACCATTGGTAAGAGACACCAGTATGGAAAAAAACCACCATAAATGAAAACATCCCAAACAGACTATCAAAAAACCTCTCGCATTTTATCAAGCTTTTATTTCTACATGCTAAAGACATAGACTGATGTGAACCTTGTGCTTAAAGGGGCTGATCTCCATGCAGTTTAAATTTCAAATAAAGGATTTATCTTCTCACAGTACCATTCAATCATGCTGACTTTCACAGCATGTTCCAGAAATGATTATTAATTATTCAAATAATATTAATCCCTGAACTAATAATAATTTACTGTTTCATTTTAGAAATCTGTACTTTGCCACAAAGAATAAGACCCTCATGATGTTCAATGTTTTGAATTCTCTGTACATTTATAGCCTTGATGATATCTATTCTGAATCTCTGCATTATTCATTTGTGCTATGTTGGATTACCTTGGCATGTAAATATCTGCCTGGGAAAGGAGACAACACAGCTTCAAAACTCAACACTTCATCCCAGCTGTAAAATCAGTGAAAGCACTGGTCTTTGTCCACTGACTTGTTAACATCACTTTGTTTAGGCAAAAAAAGACAGAAGTTTGGACTCTGCTGATTGCAGGAGATTTGTGTATGGAAAAGCCCCCAGTTCTCTGGGGAAATATTTGGTAAAGCTGACAAAGGTAGACAGGACGTAAGACAGTAAAAACTGTTGTAAAATGCTAGATAATGTTCAAACAATTATCTTTTGGATTGAGGAAATTTAATTTTGGTCTTTTATGTGAGGAAAATGGACAAAGATAGCAGTGCAACAACGGCTATTAAAAATTATAGTTATTGTTCTGCAAATAAAGAATTTACTGACATTGGAGTTCACCATGATAAGATAATGATCTATCACTCCATCTTTGTGATGTGGTATTAAATTTTTTGGCTTTTCTACATTTGATTGATTTTTCCACTATTGAGCCACTCTTCTCATATCTTGTTTGTCCTTTTTTTTTTAGCAGCTGAAAGATGAAAAGTGATAAACGCGTGACAGAGTTACTTATTAGAAGGTTTGCTTTTATAGATACCAAGTAAAGGAGCCTCTTCTTTGTATACCGCATAGAGAAAATCATCTCCTGACTTCCTGTGTCATAGAGATAATTGCACACATTTCAGCTATTCTGTACCAGAAAATTTCTTTTCATAATGTTAAACAAAAATATTAAAATGTTTGCAATGTTCCAAGAACGAAGAGAAAATAAATAGGTGAGCTGGTATCAGTACAAACAGCAAAACCACAAAAAACCCTCTTTTTGTCTCTTGTCTCAATATAGAAAAATGTTCAATTCAGCAGCATGTTCATGATAGTGCAAATTAAATATTTCTGGCTGTTGTATGTTTAGGGTCCCCTGCAATCCCCCAGATTTGTCTTAAATTTTCAAAAAGCAAATGAGAATTCCTGTTGGGCACCTTTTAAGCTTGTCCAGACTGGCTGCTTTGAGATGCTTATTGCTATAAGACGTGTGCGGCAACAAAGAAAGTGGATAATTTTCCCTGCTTGTCTTTAAATATACAACTAAGTTAACTCTGCTTTCCTTTGCTAAAGGAATAAGCATGAGTTGGGTTGTCATCTAGTAAAGAGGATAAGGCTTTTTACTCTGTTGAACGGGCGCAGAATCACTGGGGAAAGAACATGACAGCTCCTCTTTAAACAGTCATAAAATGAAATCGAAAGAAGGAACGCATTTGGGAAAGCCAAGAACAAGATGTTCCCAGGACACCACGGATTGGCTTCCAACTAAATTGATTAATTAGTCTTGCTAGTTTTGTGCATTTTTTGAAATACAGTGATTGGGTCACAAGTGCTCTTTGAGAAACCAAATAAGGCACATGTACACAATAAGAAGACAGACTTAACACTTGTAGGTTCCATAAAACAGGCGAGGATGTCTCCATAAAGGGAACAGTTCTGGGCTGGTGGGAGTGAGTCATGAGCACTAAAAGCAACCAAAGGCATTGCTCATTGCTTGGTACCCACTAGTCACACCAGTCTCAACTGTGCTGCATATAAGTTCAAATAAAGGCATATCAAATACCAGGAAAATATTTTTGTGTTTTCAAGAATTTGAATGACATGAAGTCCAGTGTCATGGATCCAAAATAATGACTCATAAATTCCATCAGCCAAATAAGCTAACTTGTTTTTTCTCACTTTAAGTGAGTTAGCACTTCAAAAGGGTTGAGGAAATCCAATCGCGTTTTAAAAAGGCTCCTCAAGTGCCAGGAACCAAGGAGTGATTATGGAAGAATCCACCCTGTATTTTTCTGATGGAAAATTATTTTACCTACAGAAGCCCAAGTTCTTCAAATGCACTCATGAAAAATAGGTGGCACTTTTCCAATCTTACATAATGTTTTTTACTTGCTGTACTTCTAGACACAGTGGGAGATGGGCTGGAGAAACAGAAGACTGAAAATAGACTTGCTTTGATACAGAATGTTTTGTTCTAATAAAACAGAAGCAACTCATAAAATATTGAAGTTAAAATTGATTTCACCTGTAATTTTTGTGCTAGCTTGAATACTTCAAGCTGACAGTTGATTAAAAAATATCCCATTTTGTTGAATGGTATATTAAGGGCATGTGAAATGGCTTTAGAAAACCTTTAGCATAATGTAGAACAAATCTCATAGGCCCATTACCTTCATTTATAAAGATGAATCATTATAAAAAGATTATGAGTTTACAACTATGAATTACTTTAACTTACAAGATGTTTAATTAATTAACAAAGAATAGAGGTGACTAGTGACTGACCAGCTTTGATCAGATGCATTTGAATCACCAAAAA